TTTGAACCGATTTAAGATGTCCTGTTTGCTATACAACTTTAGTTTCCTTATTCAGAATTGTTTCCTAGTTGGTCTAGAATTGTACCAAATCCTATGCACGAATTTTACCTTATTTTCAGAGGGATTATGTCAGTCTGTACTCTATATAAACCATGTCATATTCATTGGTTTATTTACGGCTTTTACATTATTATTAAGATATTATTCTAAGCCGTAAGAAAACTATTTTTGCAGAAAATCAAAGTTAATTTTTCTGATATATTTCTAGAACACATACACTTAAACACATAGTGAGTTTAGAGTTGTGGTGTTTAAATCCTAATCGTGATCATACAGTTGTATTAACATCAATCAGACGAAACAGATATTCTTCTACATCATTCAGACGATTGAAGAACAGAAGTAAACGCAATCACACTTTGGAAGGATTGGAGTATTCGTGGAGTGTTGTCTGATCTACCTGCTACTTTTTTACGAATAGCAAGTGTAAGCCTGAGGTCAAGTTGTTATTGGACGGAGAGTCGTAAAGCCAGAGGATCGTCAGCAGTTGGTGTTGGGTAGAGCGATAGGGTATGAGCCAGAGTCAAAGTTTGGTATACTTTGTTTCAAGCATAGTGGATTGGTTTACTTTGGACTGCGCAGTCCACGAGGTTTTCTCATAACAGTTGACGTATTTTATCAACTGGGGTTTACTCGTTAAAATCCTGGTGTCATCTCTAACTTTATACTTTGCTTTATTTTATATGCATATGATTAAATGTTTAATTACTAAAATAAGTAAAGTTGGTAATGACATTGATCTATTTTACAAAATCTAATACTTTTCTAAAATACATTCCGCTGCGTACGACTCACAGAACTTTCAAATGATGTAAATAGCGTTACAATCTACCAATACGAGGGTCGAAGAGAAATGAAAAGAATATAAATTAAAGAAAGGTGATGGAGGGGAATGTTAGATTATGTTTGGTACAAATCATTAAAGGAAAAAAAAGGAAATGGGGAGATATAAATTAGGCATGATGGGTAGGGGTGGCAAGTTACGATACGACACGATAACACAACACGAGTTAAAAGGGTTTGGGTTTGGCATAAATAAGTTTGGGTCATAAAATGGTCAACACGATTAACCCGTTTAGTTAACAATGTTGGGTTAGGGTTGAGGGGTTCAACTCGTGTAACCTGTTTATGACCTATTTAAGTTAACATATTATAATCATGACTATGATCTATGTAATATGTTACCTATTTAAACCCAATTACTATAGATAGTTAAGTTATTTTAACATAAACTTTATCTATATCTTATAATTTTTCTTTTTATTTTGAATATTTGGGTTAATTATGACAAATTTTTTCTAATATTTAGTATTTGATTAAATATTAAATGTCTCGTTTTGATAAACAGGTCATTAAACGGGTTAATACATTTACCTGTTTAATAAACGGGTTGGGTTAGTGTTGAAGATTCTTGACATGATTATTAAATGGGTTAGGTTTATATTTACCTATTTAGTATAATATCTTTATATCGACACAACTCACTAACACAAATTGCTACCCTTAATGATTGGTGAGTTTTGTTATCCTTTTAAAAATGGGAGGAAATGAAATGAAATGAAATGAAATGAAATGAAATGAAATGAAATGAAAGGGCTATAAAGTTTATTTAAAAAATTTTAATACCAATTTTACCCTTATTCTTGGTGTTTTTATAAAAGACAAAACAAATAAAAAAGGTACCATAGTAAATTCATTTATTAAAAAACTTATGTTGTTGACACAACAATTCTTGCCTACGTCCATTTCACACCGGATTGCCAAATTTCACAAGGGTTTATTTGGATATCTTTGAAACATAAAAATTGGTCATTTTTATGTTTGAATTCATGAAAGAAAACCTTAAGAAATTGACAGCATGAAATAAATAAATTGAAGCTTCCTTTTCATTAGATGACTATATCCAAAATCATAGAGTATTTTTACATTATAGAATGGAGTAAATTTTGAGCCAAGCCAGTCAATATCAAAGGACATCCAATTTAAGTTATAGATATATTTTTTGTTTTTCCTATTAGCATAATATATATTTTTGGATTAATGGTTTATATATATATATATATATATATATTTTTTTTTTTTTGAAGCACTTTGTGTATCTAACTATGCTTTTAAATGGCTCCTGCCTTTAGGTTTTGGCCATTCTTGTTGTTTGTTCATTACAATTCTATATTTCAACAGACATGACGGATAAAATTTTCTCATCTCTATGTTAATCAATATGTTGATAATTACTTGAATGCAGAATTTATTGTAACACAGACGTATGTAAGTGTTGACATAAAATCCAAAAGAAAAAAGTATGATTGTAGATTCCATAATTAATTCTTATAAACGTCAACGGAAACAACCATTTTATATCACAAATGATGTAACTCGACTAATTTTGTTTAAGCATTTTAAAGTGTGTATTTTTTTTTTTTTTTTTTTTTTTTTTCTAATACCTTCTTTTGATCATGCAATTGAAAACAATGACATAAACCTAATCCACCATTAAAACTTATGTTCTTGGTGATCATACAACACACTTTTTCAAAAAGCAAGGAAAAGGAAATAAATCATTTGATTATCTGATGCAATATATGGTAGTATGTCCACTTCTTTGTATTATTGAACCAACAAGATCTGCACAACCAGACTTGAAGGAACCAAGTTTTTTTTAAAAAAAAAAAAAAAAAAAAAAAAAACCTAATAATATTTTGGGTGATAGCTTATGCCACTTGATTCATATACTTCAATTAATGAAATACCAAACACTTTGTGACTGTTTTTTAGTGATTTATTTAAGAGTTGGGACACAAGGAAAGGGACATAAATGCCTGACAATTACATAATCACATCACATTATTATAACAAATTAATTAATTATCATACTATTTTAACATCCTTTGACTCTCAAATTGTCTCTATGGAAAATTAAATCAAAAAAAGGTTTGACTGGTTGGTGCAATACATGACTTCAGCAGCTAAACTTACCACAAAACTGCATCATAAAAGATTAAGCAATTAATTCTCCATTGTCATATAGATTGATAGATTAGTACAATATATATATATATATATATATATATATATATATATATATAACCTCACTAACTACTTGCTAAAGATGATGTATACATGACTTAAGCACTAAAATTACCACAAAAATTGCATCATAAAAAGTTAAGCAATTCACTATTTGCTGTACTAAATTTGATAGTTAGAAACTTGATTAACTAGAATCATCAATATTGACAAGTTTGTCACATAGAGGAATCATAAATTTGTACAATATATTAATAAATAACCCTCACTACTTGCATATATATATATATATATATATATATATATATATAAACTGGAGTCAAAAGCAGGCTGTGGTGGTCAAAATTACTTCCCTAATAAGCTAAAGCTCAAAGTCAAGAGACAAATTGGTATATAAGTCTATGGAATAAACGGCAAACAATTTTAAGGTCACATTTGTTTTCATTGTAATAATCTGTGTTTTGGCCGGGAAGCCGGCAAATTTAACTTTGATTATGAGCAAATGCTAACCATGATCTACGGTGCTTGTATGTGTTAATAGTGACATCCCTATTACTATTTCTCAATCCAATTTAACTTATTATCTATATAGCTATTGTAGATTTCTATTTCCACACCTTATATCAGCAATTTGGTGCTTGTTTTTATTGAAACAAACAGAAATATGCAAAAGAGCAGGAGCTCCACTAATAATGAGACTCATAACTAGTGTGTCACTTATAACTTCTTGGATTCCCTAATTTCAGGGGAATATTTTATGGCTCTCTTATATGTTGTGGGTCCCACCATGTTACCGTGGTGTGATGGAATTCACAATATATATGAGAGAGTCGTAGTATCAGAACTCGTCTATCATATCACAATTCACATACCGTATTTATTATAGAACTCGTCTATTATATCACAATTCAAATACCGTATTTGTTATATTATTAGGTTAACAGGGGTTAGTCTATGACATCCTTGAGGATTTGTATTTCCATTTGGTTCATAAAGGCGCATGTTTTGGTCCTACTCCATGTTATTTCATACAATTTCAGTTTTATGAGCCCTTAAAAATCTAATATATATGTATGCATTGTGTATGCCAAACTTACAAATATCCGTGAGCATGAATGTATATACTCTAAGAGAAACTATTATATGTACACTTTTAGTATCACTATTATATATACACTTTTAGTATCTTGATTAATTAATTTTGAATAAGTTATATGTGCATTTTGTAAGCTGTGTGAGTTTCTTGTTAAGAAATATATATATATATATATATATATATATATATATATATATATACACACAGGCCTACATAGTTTTCTTTATTGATTCAAAAATTACAACACCACCATATTTCTGTTAAGAGAGTATGATTTACAAGGTGTAATTAAAATAAAATAAAAAATTTGAAATCCAATTCCGGTAAACTTCGAAAGATTAATGAATTTTTTTTTGGAATACCTATGGATGATATATTTTAATTGAACCGGTATTAACTTACAAGATAAAAAAAGGTATGGGTTCCACTTTTTTTATATTTTATATATATGACCGATTAAAAATATAAATTAATGAATTATGTTGTTCAACTCTTCAGCTTTAAAAACATTTTTTCTTTTTCTTTTTATTTATATTTATTTGTGAAATCATAAGGTATGTATGTAATTATGGTGAGATAAGGTTTGCATCACAGTTCGCTTTTCCTAAACCAGGATCAAACCAGCAATGGCAATATTCGATTAACTTCAATTCTATTCGAAGATAGGATTAGTGTCCCTATACAAGTCCACATGATTGCAACAAAACAAACACCGCAGAATTGTGAAGTGACACGTGGCAAAAGCATAGCCAATAGAACTCTATCCAACTCATAAATCTAATCCTATCATCATCCACTTCCCACATCCGAAATCCAAAACCAGCCATTTTCCTTCACAAAAAGAAAAACAACATAATCCATTTTCTACTTACTTCTCATCTCACATTTCATACCCAAAATACAAAGAAGATCAAAAGAGAGAGAGAGATTAACTCGAATTAATGGCCTCCACAGCTTGTTTCTTGCACCACAATGCACTCACCACACCAACAACTGTATCATCATCAAAGCCACGCCATGTGACATCCATGAAGCCCAACCAACTTGTCTGCCGTGCCCAAAAACAAGTACAGGCCGTCCATGAAGACGACGCCGCCGTCGTCTCTCGCCGGTTGGCCCTCACTGTGCTCATTGGTGCTGCAGCCATTGGCTCCAAGGTTGCCCCTGCTGATGCAGCTTATGGGGAAGCTGGTATTTAATTACTTCTATATATGTCTGCATAACCCATGATTAATCCTTCAAATTGAAAAAATAGATTCAATTATAAACAAATTCAACATTTTCTTTTAGGAAATAATATAATTATAAACAAAAATCTAATTTTGTTGTTAGAAATTTAGAAAGGGAGATGATATTCATGCTACACTCTACTGGAATTTTTTTAATAATTAAAAGGACAAAACTACCCCTCAAAAGTGGACAAAATTACCTTTCATAAGTGGGGTGTGAATGTGTGATTGTACTTTTAACAATTATATAATTATTAAGTGTAAGGGGACATTTTTATAAATGCCCTCCTTTTTTTTTCTTTTTCTTTTTTCCTTTAAATCAAATGATGTAGTAGTCCTTATACTTCATTCTCCTGAATTGAATTAAAAACAATGATGATATTTCACATTAAGAGTGTTTTTGTCATCTCTCTCAATGTAAATGTGTTTGTGAATGCTAATTATGTCAATGGTGTTATTCTGGTTATAACAGGGGGACATTTATTTATTTCTTTTAAGTGCCATGTTGGATGTCACGACACATATCATAAAATACTTTTATTCATTCATGGTCTGTTGTTATAGGCTCAAAAGATGTTTAGCCCATTAATTACCAATTAGCATCTGATATAATGTTATTGTAAGGCATTAATTATGACAAATTGATAAATGTATCAGTATGAAATTTGATTCTAAGCGTTAAGGTTAAGAGCTTGATTAATTAGCCCACAATTTTATTTTATTTTTTCGCGATACACAATTGTGCACTTAAATAAGATGATATTAGAAATCCACAATAAAGCTTGTTTAATGTATCTATTAACTCTGTTCTGTTAGCATCCAACAAATTAGCTGGTTTCTTAACATTTTTCAAATATGTATGTATGTTGATTTATTTACTTTGTATTGTAAGAAAAATTAAGAATGTTTTTGGTTTATATTGGCTTGGTGTACTTGAACATGTTTCCTAAGTTTTGAAGTAAATGTTGGCTTGGTGCACTTAAAATGTTTCTTAGGTCTTGAAGTTATAGTTGGTTGCAGCCAATGTTTTTAGCATATTTTGGCTCTGTGTAGAACATGTTTCTTAACTATTTAAGTGATGTTTGGTTGCAGCCAATTTATTTGGCTTATGTTGGCTCTTTCTTTTGTGATGGAATATGTTCTATGAATAATGTTTGATTGCAGCCAATGTTTTTGGGAAGCCGAAGACAAACACAGACTTCTTGCCTTACAATGGACCGGGATTCAAGATCTTGTTACCAGCAAAATGGAACCCAAGCAAGGAGGTTGAGTACCCTGGTCAGGTTCTTAGATACGAGGACAACTTCGACTCCACCACCATGGTCGCTGTTATGGTCACCCCCACCGACAAGAAATCCATTAATGACTTTGGTTCACCCGAAGAGTTCCTCTCCAAGGTAAGCCTTTTTTATCCTCTCTCTTTGCTTGGAATCATGAAAATTGTTTCCTGATGTTGTCATTTTGTCTTGAGATCTTTTGTTGGTGTTCTTTTGGTTAGTAGATTGTCCAAACTTCACATATATATGTTGGGAACAATGTTAGCTGACAACTAAGTTTTGATATTACTCTTTTTCAGGTGGACTATTTGCTGGGCAAACAATCCTACTCTGGCAAAACTTCTTCAGAGGTAACTCATTAGCACTAGTTAGAGGAAAATTTATTTAATACACTGCTATATTGTGCGGACAATATTGCTGACTATATATGGTTTATTTCAATTAGACACCTAGAAATGCAATTCCCATTGTAGATGATACGAGTATGGAGCATGCCTGGAGCATGCCTGATAATACTGTACACTTTACCCGAACTTCGTGAAAATACCCTTGATCGAATATTTTGGGAAGTATTTTGGCATTTTCACATTTGTTAAGTAGCTCTAATTCTACATCGGTATAGTAGGGGGTGGTTGTCATCATTCTGAACAACGTAGTCCAAGTTTTGGGTGAATCACATAAATCCTCATTTCTTAAGCTAAAAAATGTTACATGGCGAGAACATGAAATTTGTATTATACACATGGGATTGTTCTTATTATGGAATATGAACTGGAATTGGTCAGGGTGGTTTTGATCCGGACGCAGTAGCAACAGCAAACATATTGGAGACTGCTACTCCGGTGATCGGTGGCAAGCAGTACTACTCATTGTCTGTGTTGACAAGGACTGCTGACGGAGATGAAGGCGGCAAGCACCAACTGATCACAGCTACTGTGTCTGATGGCAAGCTCTACATATGCAAGGCTCAAGCCGGAGACAAGAGATGGTTTAAAGGAGCAAGAAAGTTTGTTGAGAGCACTGCAGGTTCCTTCAGTCTGGCTTGAGAAAAATGATCTGTGTGGATTTAATTTGTATCTAGTTCACATTATAAAACATCATATTTGGTAGCTTTGTCTGGACTGAACCTTCTTTTTTTTTTCTTATGTGAGTTCTGTAACTTTTTTTTTTTTTTTAAGAAGTTTGTTAAGAGGAAGCTACGCGAATATTGAATGTTTCTTTGGTGAGAATAATTTTCCTTTATTGAGTTGAGAGTCTGTTTTAAGTCTTGAAAACAGCTTTCAAAAACTTTGAAAAATAAAAAATAATGGAGAATGCTATTATATGATAACAGACCTTTCGCAACATTTCAATAAACTGTCAACCAAACAGAAAAAAAGATATTAAGTCGTGAAATACTTTGTCAAACTTATAAAATATACTCAATATATTGCAAGTGATGAACCTTGGAAGCTAAAAATTTTCTCGGAGATTTTTGGAGCTAGAATTGAAACAGCAGATAATTACTTAGGCACATCACTATAACACAAAATGGAATCCTAATTATGAAACAGACTGCAAAATTAATTGGAATTATAAATATAACTGGAAATATTAATTCGTACTTGTGTAAACCTTGGAAGTGTTTGTGTCATTCAAGGTTGATTTATTTATGGTCATCAAAAGACTTTTCCAATTTCTTCCTCCTAACTTAATTAAGTATAGATAATTTAAACCTCACTCTTATAAACGGTTTATACAAATAATAGGGATGTAAATATTTTGTTGTTACAGCACCTCTTATAACAATCGGGTGACCGCTATCACTCATACGTGTGACACGACCATACATGTGAATGATCGTGACCATCCACTATCGTACGACACATGTGTTGACATGTTATACTACAGAGAATTCAAACTTCAAATTATAGACTACAATAATCTTATCTAAACTACACTTAGAGTTTTTTTTTTAATGACGAATTGGCCAGCCACATAAAGCTCCTTTTTCTTTATTTATAGATTTCCTAGAAGGAACAGTATCATTACAGGATTATTCAGAAGTGTGGACCATTTCATTAGCAATTCAGAAAATTATTTAAAGGGCTTTGATATTTACTAACAGTTTCATAATAAATTTGGAGTTAGTGATTATGTCCAGAAGGAAATTAGAGATAAATTTACTTTTGACATTATTCAATTTAAATTTTTATTATTATACTTAAACAATGACCGAGAATATAATATTTTAACCTAATTTTAACATTGCATAGAAGCGCCAAATATTGGCAAATAATGTTAATGAAAAGGAAGTTATAATATGACAATTGAAGTACATTTTTTTTTTTTTTTTTCACATTACTTGTGATTCCCGCCAAACTTTAGTAAAAAGGTTACTTTATTTATTTATTTATTTTTAAAAGGTTACTCAATACACGAGTATACAATTTTTTATTTCAAGTACCTGTTTTTCATTTCAATCCGGCCTTGTTGGTCAGGCCCACTTACTTTGCAGGCCCAAGACGATGACTTGTAAATCAGAATATGGGTAAAAACAGGATGCCAAAAAAAAGCCCACAAGACGAAATCCTAATTCTATTACTAGTAGAATTAACACACAAATATATCACAATTCTATTAGAATTACACAAGTATATATATATATACACACACGATATACACACACGATATACACACTTACCCAGTCTCACAAATCTTTCCTTTACTGCTTCGTTCTTCTCTTCCTCAAGCCGGCGGCGTAGATCGGAGGAGTTTGGGAAAACCCTTGCCCTCCACAGATTTTTAACGACCTTTCATTCATATCAGGTACTTATTAATATGTTTCACCTCTCTATATATGTATATTTATTTTGAGCGGTTATTTGTAGTGAATTTTATTGGGCTTTATTGGGTTGGCTTGAATATCTGTTTTGAATAAAATATGGTCCATGTGTATATATATATCTGTGTGCATGATTGTTTGGGATGACAATATCAACTGTGCTTCACTTTCGCATATATCTGATAACCCATAGTTTGAAATGGTTCTGATTAAATCTATTGCCTTTCTTCACTTTTCTGGAAAAAAATCTATTGTTTTTTTTTTTTTTTTTTTTCCTTCATGACATTATGGCTTATGCTATATAAATGTGATGTAAATATATAGTGTATGAGGATTAGTTTTGCTAGGCTATATACATGTGATGTAAATATATACTCTGTATGAGGATTAGTTTTGCTAGGATTGGAAATTTAATGCACTTGAAGATGAGATAGAAAATACTTCCAGAGATACACTCTTCCCTCCTCATTCTGTCCTTGAAGAACACTTCTTGGTATATGGTGAGCTCTTGTTTCTTCTGTTGTTGACATGTTTCTAGACCCGAAAATCGACTAGGTTACTAGAGTGTTGGTTAAAAATCTTGTCTTGCACCATCTCCTTATGCCACTACTGTCTTTATTTTTGTAGGTATGTTTATACTTGTTTACTATGTATTTTATATGTGCTTGTAGGCATGTTTATACTTGTGTACTATGTATTTTATATGTGCTTGTAGGTATGTTTATACTTGTGTATTTATATGTGTTCAAATTGATGTCAATTCAATGAAGGCTTAGATTTTGGTTTAAATTTGATTTCTCTTCCCTGGTGAGAGATAAACTCATCAGGGAAAGTAGGGGAAAAGGAAAAAATCTGTTTATGTCACTTGTGTCTCTCAAGAACCAGTTCAAGTTCACTGTCTGTATACTTGCTCAATTTCATTGTTAATTTGTGGGGCTTCATATTCCTATACTGTTAGAACTTTGCAGTTATGGCTGGGTTAGCACCAGAGGGTTCTAAATTTGATGGCCTTCAGTATGACGCCAAAATGAAAGAATTGTACGATATTTCTTGTCCTTTTTCTTCCTTTTTTACTTTTAAAAATTTGTGACTTCATTCTTACCTTGTAATTTTAATGATAATTGTCATGTTTGATTAATGAATTGATAGGGACACCATTGGGACTGATGGGCAAGAATTCTTCACCACATCTGATGAAGTTCATGAAACCTTTGATCAAATGGGATTGCTGGAGAATCTCCTGAGGGGCATCTTTGCTTATGGTAGAGCAACTTATTGCTTTCTCTTCTTAGTTTATTATAAATTCCTGGGGAGGTTTTGATGCGCAATGCATAAAGCCTATTTGTTTCTTCAATTAAAAAATTAAATGACACTATGCCTGATTAGATGATCATGATCATTCAGTTCTACTATTTTAGTTATCGTAGCTTCTTTTCTAGAGCGTTCAAATTTTAAATCAATGAGAGCTGTTAATTTCAGTGACTCAAATGTAATAGAGTTAGAGGCAGTAGCCTATCTATTTGTGGATTGACTAGTGCGTCGTCGGGATTGGTGAAAATTTATGTTGTGCAATGTTCTCAAACTATTGACTTATATTGTTGTTTATCTTCTTAATCGCCCTTTTGGAAAAGTGGAGAGCTGATGTTGGGTCTGAATTTCTTTGTAGGTTATGAGAAGCCCTCTGCAATTCAGCAAAGGGGGATTGTTCCCTTCTGCAGAGGACTTGATGTGATCCAACAAGCACAATCTGGAACTGGAAAAACAGCAACTTTCTGCTCTGGAATTCTCCAGCAGCTTGATTATGCCTTGGTTCAATGCCAAGCTCTGGTTCTTGCACCCACCCGTGAACTGGCACAGCAAATCGAGAAGGTTATGCGGGCAATTGGTGACTATCTTGGTGTGCAGGTTCATGCTTGTGTAGGAGGTACCAGTGTCCGTGAAGATCAGCGCATTCTCTCTAGTGGAGTTCATGTTGTTGTTGGCACTCCTGGTCGAGTTTTTGACATGTTGCGGAGACAGTCACTTCGCCCTGATTCCATAAAAATGTTTGTGTTGGATGAAGCAGATGAAATGCTTTCACGAGGTTTCAAGGATCAGGTGCTTTTCTTTGATTCACGTGTATTGTTTGTCTGAAGTTGTCACCTGCATACTTGCGTATCACATAATTTGTGTTTGAAATGATTAATGAAATATATACATGAGGAATGATCCATTCTATATAGTAAGTCGAAGCTTGCTTTGATTTACAATATCTCGTCTTTTTAAAATAATAATAATAATAATAATAATAACTTGCCCCTTGGCAATTTTGAGTTGAATTGCATAAATAAAATAAGTTGGAAGAGAAATAGGTTAGGACTGTAGTTTTTGAAGAAAAGTATTACATGCACTGCCTTTTTGTTTTCATTGATTGCATGCTGCTGAGTTGTTAGGCTTATATATGGAGATATTTCAGTTGAAGCTGTGCTTGCTAATGAAGCAATTCCTGTTCTAATGATGAAAATTTGTTTTTGTCAGATCTATGATATTTTCCAGTTGCTGCCACCAAAAATTCAGGTCGGGGTATTCTCTGCCACAATGCCACCTGAGGCCCTTGACATCACTAGGAAATTTATGAATAAACCAGTGAGAATTCTTGTGAAACGTGATGAGCTCACTCTAGAGGGTATCAAACAATTCCATGTCAATGTTGAAAAGGAGGAATGGAAGCTTGACACACTTTGTGATCTTTATGAAACTTTGGCCATTACACAAAGTGTCATTTTTGTTAACACCCGGCGCAAGGTCGACTGGCTTACTGACAAGATGCGCAGCCGTGATCACACAGTCTCTGCCACCCATGGGGACATGGACCAGAACACGAGAGATATTATCATGCGTGAATTCCGGTCCGGTTCCTCTCGCGTTCTCATTACCACTGATCTTTTGGCGCGTGGTATTGATGTTCAACAAGTCTCTCTTGTGATCAATTTTGATCTTCCAACGCAGCCCGAGAACTATCTTCATCGGATTGGACGAAGTGGACGATTTGGGAGGAAGGGTGTTGCCATCAACTTTGTGACCCGAGACGACGATAGAATGCTGTTTGACATCCAGAAGTTTTATAATGTGGTAATTGAGGAGCTGCCAGCAAATGTTGCTGATATCCTTTGATGGGTTTTGATCTGGCAAGGTAGATTATTTTCGATTGGGAAGTCATTTATGATATTATTTTTAGGGGGTTAGTGACTTTGAAGATTTTTTATTCTTTATTTACAATTGACAGATGCCTACTACTGTGCCATGGGGACCTGTCTTTTGCACAATTTGGTCGTAGTAGGAATCTATTCTCGCAAATTTTGTTTTGCTTTTGTGTTGTATCGTGCCTAAAACAAGTAGCAAAATCATATGCTGTTTGAATTTGACATGATTGAGTTTTATTAGTTGGTTTCTGATTTTGTTTATGAGTACAGATATTGAAATAGTTGCGCCATTGTTGTTTCTTGTGAGCTGTAAACTTGAATTCTGTTCTCGCTTTTAATTTTTTTTTAAGAAGTCCATACTTTTTCCCTATTCCTTTTTCCTTTGTGCTCTAATGTAATTTGAGCTTCCATTCTCATTTTTACCATTACCCATGCTACTCAGGTTCTGCCCTTTTTTTTTCATTGTTTACGAAATTGAGGCTTTGTTGCCAAGAGCTCGTGTAAACTACTGTTCTTCATCTTGGTCCTTGCCAGTCCTGTGCTCTGGTCACCTAGATCAATTGGGGCTCTATAGACTATTTTTGTATGCATCAAGTTTACTTTGCTTCCCAAAGTGAACCCTCTTGATGGCCTTCAACCTATGAAAAGTTATTGAAATTATTAGAGACAGAAAAGCAAAAGCACAATCTGTGGCGGGGAGATCTCCATGGTGTTTGTGAGACATTAATGTTTATCCGGACCTACTTTACTAATTAGGATTATAAGAGATTACTAATTAGGGTTATAAGAGATTACTAATTAGGATTTGTTGGGTAAGTACTAATTAGGCAACGTGTAGCAGACTAGTGAGTACCCTATTGTTGAGGTGTGATGGCTTTTGCATGCAATTGAATGGACAAAGAAGCTTAATGCCCTCTCTCCACGTTCATTTGTGCACTAAAGTTTTATGAATACTAGTAATATATACGAATTCAAGCATATGTATGTATAATTATATACATATTTATATAAGGGACTTTTACAGTAAAAATATATTACCCATAGCCAAACGTAGTTTACATAATTACAAATACATGGACTAAGTTCTATTTTAGTCCTGTATTAAGCTGAATTTATATTTTCACCCCTAGGAGTTTAATTTATGCACAATTTACCCAAAGAATAACTTATTCAAGTATTAGAATTTTGTCAAATAGTTTTTAGAAACTTCTACATAGCACTAGAATTAGGAGACACAATACGTAGTCTACAAAGAAGAATTGAAGAACTTAGATCTAGAATTATATTAATACAAAATATTTTAGAAGATAGACGACAACGATTTTAGTTTATGAATAGATTTGACTTTAATAATTTAGATACTTTTATAAAACGATTAAGAGAAAATTTAGATTATATTAAAGAACAAATAATACAGAATTCTAGTCCAAATAATTTAGATAACAAGATAATATTAGTCGTAATTAAAGATATCAATAGTGATATTAAGAATATTGTTGAAAACCAGAAAATAATCATAGACTCTTTAAAATCCCTTAAAACCGATATCCAAAAATTATTACAATAGTTTTATGAGCACTAGTAGTCCTGATTATTTAACCGCGTTAGCTGAACTTTACAAAATAGATAAAGAACTTATAGGATTTACTAACTTTAAAACAGACGTACCGTTAATTAATATACATATTAGACAAAATAACTTTTTAATCCAGTTATTACTCCAGTTATCTGATAAAGTTAATAAACTTGAAGAGAAATTATAAGTAATACAAGAAAGCATTCCTAGAGAATCTTCAAAAGAATTATCTGAATTATCAGATAAAATAAAAGAGATAAAATTGTCAGCTAATAACCAATCCTTTCCTACAACAGCCAAGTGTATAAATTTATTACAACTTCAACCTCATAAGCAAATACCACAATAGCCATTATCCTTAGAAAAGCCAAAGAAATAATGAGAGTAGAAGATTTATATGATAATGAACATGATGCTAAAAAATATATAGAACAATGAATGAAGAAGGTAAAAAATAAAGTTAATCTTTATTCTAATAATTTATTAGATTTTCATAGCAAGATATATAATCATTTTAGCCAAAGAAAAATAAGTGCAGTTAACAATCAAGTTATTTTAGACCTTATAACACCCGAAGCATGCCAAGAACTAAATGATAATAATTTAGAACTTATGTATTTAGACGTCATAATGATAGGATTAGTAGGATTAAACAGAGCAGAAATTGAAACTAGAGCACTTGCTTATACTTATGATGACCGATGGAATAACCATCAACAAGCACAAATAGTCAGCGCCGAAATAGACTTAACCGACAATGCCGCAAAAGTAGGATGTATTCCCAATTATACGATGACTACTAGAGAATTCAGTAAACATATTAAGATAGCTATATCCACAAAAGGATATAATATAACAGAACAATTTGAAAATCTATTAGTTAATACTTTATTTATGGGAAAAACAGTTAATTAGTATAACTTAAAATTTGAAGCCCAATTTAGTGAAATAGTTAAACCTTTTAGTAGCAAATATGTCCAGATGATATAAGCCAAAAAAGTAAGCAGTATTACCCATGAAGGAACAAAATGGAAATTACCTAAACTTACTACTACACCTAAAAAGATTCCCGAAAATAATATGATCTATGTATCAAATAGCGGAGATGCTAGCATAAGGTTTAGTAATTATAAAAGACAAGATAATTTAGTTGATGATACTCAAGAAGACTTCTTAACTACACTAATAGAGATAGAATCTCCTGAAAAAATAAATGTTCTTTATGATAGATTAGAAGATGAAATTCTAGATAAAATAATGTACGATTTTGATAATTTAGAATTAGAAGCATTGCAAGAAAAATATCCAGAACCTAAATACCAACTTATCGAAAGTATTTATTTAGGACAAGGAAATAATGATGATATTAAGAAAAATATTCTAAGTGTCGAATTTGAATCCTTCTATACAGCATTAAAATTAAATACAGTAAAAGAAGAGTTAAATGTAATAGAGCATAGAGAAGGGAAAGCACCAGAAGTATCAGATACTAAGTCAATCGACCAAGAAATGAGTGACCAAAGAAAGACTAACACCTCAGGTAGTAATACCCTAAGTGATGATTTCACTACTGGACAAAGATTAAATCCCTCACGAGAAACTTATGTTAAAAATAGAAATATATTAGATATGTACACATTAACACAATATCGTAGACAATATGATAATATACCAGCGCAACCATCAGGAACAATATTAGATATAGTAAGGCACGATCCCCAAGACTGGGCAAAGGTAATCGAAAATTGGGAACAAGATTGTATTCGGCAATCTATTTTGACCAATTTTGACAATAGAACTCAAGTCTTAACCTATTGTGAAACCTTATTAAGAGAAACCATTCATGACTGGTGGCAGGCTTATAAAGTAATTTATCCAAATGATTATACCATCTTACGTGATAATTTTACCATTCAAGGCTTTAAAAGCCTCATTAAAAAAGTATTAATTGGTGAAGACAGATTATTAGATGACACCTTAATAAAACAAAACGAAGCTTTACATAATTTAGAATTACTACAGATTTGTAATTTTAGATACATAAAAAACTACACTAATAAGTTTTTTGAGTATTTTGCAGCCACTGGTAAAACAGGTGATAAAACATTATTTGATCGATATCTTCAGAAGTTACCCAGAAGCGTAGGAACTAAAATATGGGAAAAATAGTTAGAAAACCCTAGACGCGTTACGCTAACCATAGGAGATAGAGTTAATCATGTATATAACATGTTAAAAGCAGAATGTCGACAACGTAAAGAGTCTAAACAAATCAAAAAATAATTTTATTATACGTGTAGACAAATAGATTTTCCACCCCAGTATGGGTGTATGCCTCAGAAAAATTACAATTATAAGCATAATAAACCTAAAAAATATAATCTGCGTAAAAGCAAGACCTACAAGAACTTTCGTAATAAATAACCTTATGTCAGATTAACCCTAGGCAATTCAGAAAGCGGCGAAAAAGAGCTCAACTTGTTGTCTTAGAATTTCTTTGTATGTAGGAGAAAACAGGACAACAAAGACAAGGATAATAAGGTAAACAATTTACCCACAAAAGAAAGACACTACAAATATGTTATTTGTGGAGATCCAGGACACATTAAACCAAATTGCCCTCATCGATACAAACAGAATCCTATTAAAAGGATACAAGAAAAAATCAACATACTTGAAGATATTGAATAACAGATAGAAGAATTATATAAACTAGAAAGTATTTATGACTCTGACGATGATAATGAAAATATATATAGTATCGAGAGCTTAGATAGCAATTTTGATAATGATGAAGACTTTGAACAAGGGCTTCATTCAATAGAAGAGTTCGTTCACACTATAAGTAATCCCTCATGTCAGTATAACTTAGTTAGTTTTCAATTTTCTTCTTATAATTGCAAACAGTGCAACACATCTATTAAAAAAGGTCATTACTGTAAAAACCATTGTAAAACTTTATTATGTCATAATTGCTATACAAAATATGAAGATAAGCAAGAAGATATTTTAGTTAAATCTATAAATTCAATATATAAACCATCTAGTCTAATTCAATTCCCAGTAACATTAGAATTTAGAGAAAAATTAGTTCAAACCTCAGCTATGCTTGATACTGGAGCATCTAAAAGTATAATTCAAAAACATTTGGTCTCAGACGAAGCCTTGGTAAAGTTAAATTATAATGTTAACATAAGCCAGTATAATAATGAAAAACTTCCAATAACCCATTGTGTCCAAAACATTCCTATATTAATTAATAATGAAAAGTTTGTTTTACCCCAAACTTATGTAGTTAATAATATTCTTAGCACCTATGATTTTATCTTAGGATTAAATTTTATAAACTCACTTACCGAAGGATTTATGTACACACCTACAGGTTTATAGTTTTTTAAGAAAGAAACCTTTATTCTATCTAGAGATCCTTATATTCCTCAAAAAGATAAAGGAGCCATTACCTATGTTAATACTTCCTATGACAGAAGAAACGACAGAAAATTTATTTGATGTATCCGAATTTTTAGAAGACATTTCTGAAGCCTTAATGTTTCTTAGTCATCTTGATGAACCAAAGATTTTCCTTAATAATAAAGTTATATTAAAAAACCCCAAGCTAAACATTGATAGTCTTATAAGATTAGCTGAAACCACAGAAATTTTAGAAGAAGACCCCCAGAAACACGGGTATAAAAATAAAATTGAAGCAAAGTTAAATATAATAAATCCTTTTATAACTATTAAGACACAAGATAATCCTCATACCTTAGACGATCAAGAAGAATTCCAAAAACAAATTAAGGAACT